TGTCCAGACAAAGAGATTCTCATTTTGACCCACAAGGATGGAGGGGACATAGCTGCAATTATGATCAGCAGCCTGAAAGGAAAACAGATTCTACGTCTGATTCAGGAAGGTATCCGTGTAACTGCGGTCATTGAAGTGGGAACCACCCAGTGCTTCTGGAAGATCTATTTGTGCGCTTACTCTCTCATCCTGACTCTGGTTGCCTATTTAGTATTATGCTGCACTCCGGGGCAGATGGTGGTAAGACATGAAGAAAGGGGTGTCCAGGGAACAAAGGCAGAGCTCCGCAAAGCTGTTCATTTGCTAGCGCTGCGCAGGTTGAAAAAGGGCGAAATGGATCTAGCGGACGAGACCTGTGTGGTGTGCTTGGAGACCTACAAGCCGAGAGAGGTGTTGCGTGTTTTGACCTGCAGGCACGTCTTCCACAAAAGGTGCATTGACCGCTGGTTGCTAAAGCGTGGCATTTGCCCTATTTGCAACCATGCCATTATCCAAAGGAACTGAGAAGGATGGAGTCCCTTGCACCTCGCATGGCTTCCAGAAGCATATATAAAAGTATTCTTCTCACTAGACAGATGAAGAACGAATATTTGTCAGAGGAAGGTGATTTGCATCTGAGGCTTTTGGCAGTTGTAATCGGTAATTAAAGTCCTAAACGCATGATCAGCAGCTCTTAAATCTGAAACTTTTCTTTCGCACAATAATCCCTTCAGCGATAGACTTCTGGGGTGTGTCAGCTCTTGTGTAAGATCAACAGTTTATGAGTGAAGCCTCCTAGCTCAGGAAGCATTTCATATATCCGTTCAAAGTGTTTTATTTTCTCCAGAGACTCTGTTCACGTAAGAAACCCATAAGCACAAAATTGGTTTATTTTGTCACCTGAAAAGCCTCTGAAGTTGAAACAATATCTCAGCTGCATTTTTAGCAACAGTGATTCAACAAGGAGGGGGAAAATATATATCAGTTTTGTGTCACGGCTGCATTGAGAGGCTCTTTCCAGATTATTTTTGAACCACTGGGCTTTTCTTTTGGTGCAAAACCTCTGTTGCACCAAATCCAGTGGCAGCAGCGTGAAATCACGTTTCCGTGTAATGTTCATGCATGGGAAGATTGCTTTGCAACCAGTGGTCTTACTCATGGGCAACACAATGGGATGTGTGATTGAGGAAACAGAGGCGGGCTACAATAGATGGGAAAATATTTTTAAAACCAGTAAAAAAGGTTTGCAAAAGTCTTGCACTTTCTGTGACAGAAGAGGAAGCCTTATGACATTTACCACTTCTTTGTAAGGAATGTTTAAGTGCTTGAGTGCTACAGCTGGGATGTGTTCTGTCTACTAAGCAAAACCCTTCTAGAAAGTTCTGTTAGTCTGGGCACATGTGTGCAGGGGCAGATCTACTATGAAACTAAGGAAGCTTAAGCTCCAGGGCCCCTAATTCCAGAGGGGTCCCAGAATCAACTTTTAGTCCACGTTGCTTAAAAAAGTTGGGGTTTTTCCAGCTGTTTTTTGGAGTACAATTCCCATCATCTCCAACCACTGGTCCTGCTAGCTAGGGATGATGGGAGTTGTAGTCCAAATTTGGAGACCCCAAAATTTGGGAAACCTTGGCCTAGTAGATCCAATTTGAGTTGCACAACTCAAATTGCTTAATTTTTCATTGCATATATTTCAGCAATCCCAAAGTTTGAAAGTCAGCAGCACAGATGCTGTACAACAACCCGACTGAAGAAGATAACAGTGGTTAACCTAGAGCTTGTTGCGAACGGGCTCCCATAACAGTTGAAGCTCTAGGACCTCCAAAATGTGGGTCCACCACTGTGTGTGACCGCAGTGATGTAGCAGGGTCAGGAAGAGTGCTCAACCAACAAGTTGCCCGTGGTTTTTTGGCAGAACTGCGTTCTACAGGTCCCTGATAAATGCAGTTTCAAAGGATGAAAACCTGGTATAGGTGTAGTGCAAAAAAAATGTGATTTCCCAGCAACAAATCATTAATTGGAGGAAAGATGTCTGCACTCTGTATATAACTCTGGTAGAATTGTAATATGGAAGGGGGAAATCCCTATAGGAAATGTCTATTTCTTGACCGCCAGGGGAGGGGAAAAGAGGGATCAATGTTCACTGACTCTGCCCTCTGTACTGCATGCTTGACACTGTCTTCCATGCATTGGATGGGGAAAGTCTGGCGAGGGGAATTCTGTGTAGGCACCCTGTGTGATTTAAAACCCACACTGAACAGGGTCATAAATCCTGTGGGGAGGCTATATGCCTAACACTGCTTCTCCACCTCAGCCCTCCCCGTCCCCTGCCACACTGTGTAACGTGGCAATGGGCATTTGACAGGGCGGGCACCAGCAAAAACATCCTTCCTTGTTCTTCCATCCCTCACTCATGTTGATGGAATTACAAGAGGAGGAACGTTCGGATAGGACGACCATTCAAGTGCTGATCCATAATGCAGATCTGTTATTTTGTCAATGGCTTGCTTGTTTTCTTGTTTCTTAACAAAAACAATTGGTGGTATGGACTATGGCAATGCACTCTACATGGGGCTACCTTTGAAGGTGACCTGGAAACTACAACAAATCCAGAAGACGGCAGCTAGACTGGTGACTGGGAGTGGCCACCAAGAACATATAACACCAGTCCTGAAAGACCTACATTGGCTCCTAGTATGTTTCCAAGCACACTTCAAAGTGTTGGTGCTGACCTTTAAAGCCCTAAACGGCCTCGGCCCAGTATACCTGAAGGAGCATCTCCACCCCCATTGTTCTGCCTGGATACTGAGATCCAGCTCTGAGGGCCTTCTGGCGGTTCCCTCACTGTGAGAAGTGAGGTTACAGGGAACCAGGCAGAGGGCCTTCTAGGTAGTGGCGCCTGCCCTGTAGAACACCCTCCCATCAGATGTCAAAGAAATAAACAACTATCTGACTTTTAGAAGACATCTGAAAGCAGCCCTGTTTAGGGAAGTTCTTAATGTTTGATTGCTTTTTTGTTGTTATTATTAATATTCTCTTGGGAGCCGCCCAGAGTAGCTGGGGAAACCCAGCCAGATGGGTGGGGTGTAAATAATAAATATTCATTCATTCATTCATTCATTCATTCATTCATTCATTCCTTTTTCCATGTGTGATTTTCAGGATTGTGTTTTACCTAGTATCTCATGGTATATTTTGCTTTCAATGGTGCCTGCGTAGGAAGTGCCAGATACTTTACAATGTTTATTCCTAGATGGTACAGAGATCCACCAGAGCCCTTTAGCAGTTTCCCATTCTTTAGCTTACCCCACAGCCTTGATTCCCACTTGGAATATCCCAGTTTGTGGACCTGAATGTATACAAGTCAGGGTTTATGAAGGCAGAAAGAGACAAATGGACCAAATAATTGGCTGCAGCTTAGATGTGGAAATCCTGGTTCCTTGAAAGCAGAATTCCTTATTAGAAGTGAAATGGGGAGCTCTAGTTTAATGTTGGTTAATTTGCCGGGATCATGAGGAAAAGACACAGAGTACAGGACCGTGATGTTCATTCTCGGCTTCATAAACCACACTTTGAATGGCAGAATTTACATCAGAACTGAGCCTGTAAGTTTTCAGGAAATTTTATACCGCCAGGAAACTTCATGGAAGAACTATAAAGAGATTATTATTTCTCTAGTTACCTTCTCACCGTGGTTACAATAGACTCAAAGCTCTGTTTTTAGCTCCCTGTGAATCACACCAGAGTTGTTGACTGTCGGCTGTGTACACACCATACAACTAAAGCACATGACTTCTGCAAAGAATCTTGGGAGATGTAGTTAAGGGTGCTGGGAATTATAGCTCTGTGAGGGGTAAACTTAGTTTTCAGAATTCTTTGGGAGATGCATTGTGCTTTCATACTGGCTGAATGTGAGCTTTCATGCAAGTCCTTCCACTGTGCTTGAAAAGTTGCTTGAAACTGTTACTGTTGTTATAAGAAGAATACAATCACTTCTCTTTTTTCTTTATCAGTCCCATTTAAAAATTAACGAGACTTCAAGATTATTCCTAGGCTGTTGGAAAATTGGAAGAGAGAGCTTTGACTCTGTTTTACAATAAACACGGCATAGGCGCTTTCTCTAAATCAGGGGTCAGCAAATGTTTTCAGCAGGGGGCCGGTCCCCTGTCCCTCAGACCTTGTGGGGGGCCGGACCATATTTCTTAAAAAAAAAATAATGAATGCATTTCTATGCCCCACAAATAACCCAGAGATGCATTTTAAATAAAAGCACACATTCTACTCATGTAAAAACACACTGATTCCCAGACCGTTCGCGGGCCGGATTTAGAAGGTGATTGGGCCAGATCCGGCCCCTGGGCCTTAGTTTGCTTACCCGTGCTTTAAATTGTCAAAGTAGTAGAAACCACCACCTCCCCAGTATTTTAAAGGGGCAGATATAAACAAAAGTGGCATAGCTGGTGGTATTATTGCTCAGGTCAAGAATATCAGAGGAAAAGAGAGAGAGAATAGGATTTGCCATCTTGCCATTGTGTAGTCTGTATAAAAAGTACACAGCATAAAATGAAATGGTTGGTGGTTTCAATGATCCCATACATGGGCCATCAACTTGATTTTGTGGACACAATGCAAACCAAACATCTGTATTCGCTAGAAAAAAGGATACCTGATCTTTCTAATTCTCTGACCAGTAAAGGAATATCCCCCCAAAACACCAGCAGACGTCTCAAGGGAGGAGGCCTGCCCCACCCCAAATGAAAACATCTCTGTAGGAGCTCTACCTATTTCATACTTCAAGAATTTGGACTGGAGGTGTGTATTATTTTCCCCTGTGGACCTGAAGTTTCTTTGTTCTTCTCTCCCCTGCTCTCTCTCCCCTCCTCCCTTTAAAATATGAGTAAGCTAAGGAAGGAGTGGTCATTTGAGGCAGTTCTGATGTCACAATGGCTACAGCTCTCTTCCTGATGACAGACCTGCATGTTGTGATCTATGGTGGTGGTTCTGTGTCTTACTGGTATGGAGTTAAGGGGAGTGGAGGCTGGAATTCTACGTATACATGTTTGTGAAGTTTAGAGTCTGTGGTGCCTTTCTAGTCAATGGGATTTTTGATCTTTCTACAAATATGGAAAGCCATCTTTGTTCATCATGCTGCCTTGGCTGTTTGACCATGTGAGTCATCGCTTGGATTTTTATTTTTGCCGCTTGCAAAAGAAAAATGAAACTTCCCAACAATGGTGGAATAAACGTTTCCTGTTTCTGGAAGATGGCTTTCAGCCTCTCCTTAATATTTGGTGTGCCTCGCTCTCAAGCTGCAAGTTGCTCTGTTGGCTATATTAATCTAACCCTTGACAGTGAGAAGTGGGCCATATCAGTAGCACAAAATCCAGCTTCCTTTGAGGAGGACCTCCCTTCAAAGAAGATGATAGGGCTGTTGGTGAAGTTAAAGATGCCCACAGAAGCTAAAGGTGCCTACATCATGGGAGCTAAGTTCAGTACACCACCGGACACTGAGTCCTGGATAGCCTTCGTTGCAAGAGGAGGTGATGCTTCTGAAAGGAGAAGAAAGGCACCGGTAGGAGAAGGTGCCACAGGTGTTGTTATTTATGACCATTCGCATCCAGACAGAGAGATTCTCATTTTGACTTGCGACGACGCCTGCGATATTGCCACCATCATGATTAGCAGCCTGAAAGGAAACCCAATTTTGCAGTTGATTAAGGATGGTATCCAGGTCACTGCTGTAATCGAAGTGGGAGCTATGCAGTGCTTCTACAAGATCTACCTGTGTTTGTTCTTCCTCCTTTTGGCATTTGTTGGCTGCGCAGCATTGTGCTGTACTCCGGGGCAGACTGGGGCAAGACAAGAAGAGAGGAGTGTCAGGGCAGCAAAGGCGGAACTCCGCAAAGCTGTAGATTTGCTCGAGCTGCGCAAGTTGAAAAGGAACGAAACGGATCTCGCAGGAGAGACCTGTGTGGTGTGCTTGGAGACATACAAGCCGAGAGAGGTAGTGCGTATTTTAACCTGCCGGCACGTCTTCCACAAAAGGTGCATTGATCGCTGGTTGCTAAAGCGTGGCATTTGCCCTATTTGCAACCATGCTGTTATCCAAAGGAACTGAGAGGGACGAAATCGCTTGTATCTCGTGAGGCTTCCAACACTGCTTTTAACTTTCAGAAAGCATGTATAAAAGTATTCTCCTCACTAAACAGGTGAAGACTGATATTTATTGGGGGAAATGATTTGCCTTTGAGGCTACTGGTAGCTGGGACCGTTAATTAAAATCTTAAGTGTATGTTCAGCAGCTCTCACAGATTCAAAATTATTTTATTTCGCAGAAGAATATATTCAGCAATCGGCTTCTGAGATGGCTGTGCTCATGTGTGAGAACAACAGTCTTGAGTGAAGCTTCCTAGTTCAGGAAGTATTTCATATATCCTTGCAAAGTATTTTATTTTTTCCAGAGACTCTGTTTAATTAAATCCATAAGCACGAGATCGATCATCGCACACTGGTTCAGGTTGCTTGTTGAAAGCATTTTTCTTTACTCCTCCCAAGGAGGACAAAACTAAAGAGGGGGGATGCCATTTCTCTGTTGAGATACATATGCATCTACTTAATTTCTGAAAAATATTGTTAGGTAAAAATGTGTTTGGGAGGAAAGCTCCACAGTTAATCCCAGATACCTGGCTTTAGCCCAACAGTGCATGAGCCTTTGCCTCATCTTTCCTAGAGTGTGTTGGCAGGGAGTGAAGAGGAGGAATCAAAAACATATGGCTCCTCCTCTTCACTTTTTGTTGTGCTGGAGTCTCTATCCATATGTTCAACTTACAATGCCAGTGGAGGATTCTAAACTGAAGCATCACCTCCATATGAGAAGCACATTTAATATTATTTCTCTGTTTAACTATATTTGATAACCCTAGTAGTAGCAGCCGGTCAAATACATATTGTGGTCAACCAGCCACTAAAAAGATCATGTAAAAACATACATCATCGTAGCCTTTGAGGAACAAAAATAACAAGGGGGTCTATTAAACCAGTTACTGAACAGGTGACAAAATATCTGAACATCTCTTGGAGCTGCTATGATGGTTAGCTCTTTTAACCATCCCTGCAGCCCTAACAAACATTCAGATAGTTTGCCACCTATTTAGTAATGGTTATATTGGACCCCTCAAAGAAGATATTGAGAAGGGACTTTAAGGAGCAGCCAGGAAATTAATATTATTAGTATTAACAATAATATCCCACTTTTTCCTCCAGACACAGACTCAAGGCAGCTCACAGATAAAGCAGAAACTGCTAAAAACATGGACAAAGCCATCATTAAAAGCAACTAAACACTAATAGAATTAAAATAATATATGAGATACCTATTTTAAAAATACAGATAATTAGAATAAAAGCCCTACAGCACCAGCCCTTTCTTTAAAAAACAACAGTCAATTCCCCCAAAGCCTATTGGAACAAGCAAGTCTTCACCTGCTGGCGGAAGAACAACAAGGAGGGAGGGAGCCAGTCTTAACTTCTCTGAGAAGGGTGTTCCAAAGTCTGGGAGCAGCTACCAAGAAGGCCCTCTTCCACCAAGCAGGACAGGGATGGTGGCGAGACTGAGAGATGGGCCTCCCATGAAGATCTCAAAGCCCAGGCAGGTTTGTATGAGGGAATACAGTCATTCAGATAGCTTGGACCCAAGCTATATAGGGCTTTATAGGTCATAACCCGCACTTTGAATTGTGCCCAGAAACAGACTGGCAGCCAGAGGAATCGTCGTAACAAGGGAGTTATATGCTCCTTATAACCAGCCATAGTCACAGTCTTACCTGGAATTCATAAAAATAGATAGAACAATACTTCCAGCCCAATACCTACAGAAATCTTTGGCAGTACATTAACAGCAAAAGCATAACTTTTCAAAAGTCAGTGGGGCAGGGGAGCTGAGATTTTATTTGGTGCCCAAAAAAATGACAGCAAAGGTGCCAGGCGGACCCCACTGGAAAGCATTCCACAGATGGAGAGAACTACGACTGAAAGGGTCCCTTTATTCTCTGAGCCTCAGGGAACAGCCTTGGATGACGATCTAAGGGTCTGAGTAGGTTCATATACGGAGAGACATTCCAGAAGATAATGGGGTCCTGAGCCATTAAGACCTTCATACGTCAAAACCTTGAGAGTGAAAACTGGCGGCATTTTCACACCTTGTCAGTTAGCACGTTAATCTAACGACAGAGTTGGGGGTCATTTTTTTGCAGCGCTCTAACAGAGAGAGTCAGAACCTGTCAGTGGAATATTGCATAGACTAAAGTGCACCAGCGAAAACCAGTTGTGTGTGTTGCTATCTGCTCAGCTAAGCTATAACGATACAGCATCACATACCTTCAGACTTCTATCAGATGCCAAACCCTCCAGTAAAAGTTACCCAGAAGGTTGTGAACATTGATTTACACACTATGCAATACTTTAGTTGTACATTCTGATTCTGTGTGGTGGGGGAGGGGATAATAAAAGTATAAGGTAAAAGGTAAAGGATCCCTAGACGGTTACGTTCAGTCAAAGGCGACTATGGGGTTGTGGCGCTCATCTCTCTTTCAGGCTGAGGGAGTCAGTGTTCGTCCACAGACAGCTTTCTGGGTCATGTGGCCAGCATGACTAAACCGCTTCTGGCGCAATGGAACACCGTGACAGAAACCAGACCACACGGAAATGCTGTTTACCTTCCCACCACAGTGGTGCCTATTTATCTACTTGCACTGGTGTGCTTTCAAACTGCTAGGTTGGCAGGAGCTGGGACAGAGCAACAGGAGCTCATCCCATTGTGGGCATCCGAACCGCCGACATGATTGGCAAGCCCAAGAGGCTCAGTGGTTTAGACTACAGTGCCACCTGCATCCAAAAACATATTTGAATGCTGAGCCAGTAAGATTTTATATAGACCACGTCCTAAGTCAGTGCTAATTGGCAGAGTTGTCCACGATGTCATAATTTCATTACGTAACAATGAGCTACTTCACCGGAGGAAAAGCCACCCTGATTTTTGCTTGATGCCACCTGCCATAAAGCTTTGCCAAGTATCTAAGCCTGGACAGCCTGCTGAGGTCACTTCTCTGCAATTTGGTGGGGGATACATTTTTAATATCTCTCTGCTAGCAGCGACTCGGCTTTGGCATGCTGGCGACTTTTGTCCGGTCCTGCATTATTGATTCAGCAGCTGTTTTGCAGGTGCCAAGATGAGCATGCCTGGGACAGCCATTGGAAGAGGAAGGGCAACACCTCTTTTTTACCTGCACCTTGGGCTCCTCCTCGCCCTCTGTATGCACAGCTCCGGAGCTGACGCCTTTTGGGTTGCCAATCTTAACATATCGTTCCTAGTAGCAAATCGGACTTTGTGGGAGATTTTGGAAAACGGAGTGTTTGCGAGAGCCTCTCCTTTGAAGAAGGTGTCTGGGGTTCTGGTGCCGCCAGAGGGTCTGCATCAAAACGCCTGTAGCTCTTTAACACATTTTAAGAAGCCAGCGAATGGGGACAGTTGGCTAGCTCTCATCATGAGGGGACGCTGTTCATTTGCAAAGCAAATCATGGTGGCCGCAGAAAAGGGAGCTGCTGGTGTGATCATCTATAATTATCCAGGTACAGGCAATGCTATCTTTCCCATGCATAACTTTGGGGCGGAAGATATTGTCTCAGTTATGATCAGCAACCTGAAAGGCATAGATCTTTTGCATTTGGCTCAGAATGGCATCCAAGTGAGGGTAACCATTGATGTCGGGAAGCACCATTACCCATGGATAACCCATTACATGGGTACCATTTTTGTTTTTGCCTCCCTCGCTGTGGCATATTGCACCTGCTACTCTGCCGCAAGGCTGCGGAGATCCAGGAACCCGGTCCAGAGATGGCCGCAGGAACTTGATATCGGTAAGGCCATGAATGATCTTGAGCTTCGCACACTGAAGAAGGACGACAAGGAAGTTGGGTCGAGTGGAGAGAGCTGTGCGGTGTGTTTGGAAATGTACAAGCCGAAAGACATAACCCGTGTCTTGCACTGCAGACATCTTTTCCACAAAGCCTGTGTTGATCCTTGGCTTCTGAATCACCAGACATGTCCTGTGTGTAAATGGGACATGCTCCGAATGGTGGGAAGCATTGCAACGGAAGCGGAGTCATTGGGTAGGCAAAGGCCAAATGAAGTTTCTCCCATGATCAGTTCTTCTAAGCAATAGGACTGTCGTGAGTTCATGAAGGAATGCAACAAACGCTCATTCTGGAGACAAGCAACTTTTTCCATGCTTGATTGTCTCATTCCTAAAAATCAAGCGTAAACACATGTGAAATAAAAAGCTTTGCTTCTACCTTTGTGCAGTTTTTAATGTCTGTTGGTTCAACAAGAATAGATATTGCTTTAGGTTCATGAGCTTCTCCGAGGTTGTATGTATTAAATTCATTTTGGGTTGTTTTTTCCCTTTTTTCTTTTTAAAAAAGCAAATCGAAACATCTTTTCAAAATTGTAAACTGAATCTCTTTGAGTTTTATAACATACAGCTGCGGTAGCACAAATAACTTTCCCTAAAGAGGACTCTTGAATGTAACTTATTAACAATTAAACTTCAAAGGTGATTCATTTTCCTTTTTAACTCTTTTTGTATTACATGGTCCAAAATAGATGGGGGCAAAGAACAATGGAAACTAGAGGTGGACAAATCTAGTGTCTTTGATCTATCTCACTTTCACACATGCTTTTCCATAATTCTTTTTTTAAAAAGGTTTTTTATTAACAATTTCAACATAACAAAATACCAAAACGTATCATATTCATTATTTCCCCCCCTTTTCCCCTACCTCCCCTTCAAACCTTCCCTCTCCCCGCCCCTGAGACTTCCCTCAGCTCCTCTCTCTGATTTCTCAACACATGTTATTCTCTGCATATTATAAATTGTATAAATCCTTATATTATCTATCTACCATGTTATCAATCAATCAATTAATTTGTGTATGTTTATTCAAAACCTGCCAAGGAGTCCAGTTCATTTTGCTGTCTTTTTAAGTAATTTGTAAAAAGTTCCCATTCTTCTTTTAAGTCACAGTTGTCCTTGTCTCGCAGTTTGTATGTCAGTTTAGCCAATTCTGCATAGTTTATCAATTTCTCTTGCTACTGTTCCTTTGTCGGGGTTTCCTCATTCTTCCATCCTTGTGCTATCAAGACTCTTGCCGCTATTGTAGCATACATAAATAAATTCTTTGTTTTCTTTGGCTTTCCCATAATTCTGTTCCATCTTTTTCTATATTAATCTGCAGATTGGAATACACACACACACACACACACACACACACACTCAAATCTATTTAACTCCTTATTAGTTATCTGATAAAATATTTTTGAATCTCCTATTATGGAAACATCTCAAGGTTGTTTATAGTAACACCCGTTTAAAATACAATAACATCAATAAAACCCAGCAGCACTGTCAGTCAATACAAAATGTAACTTAAAAAATTACCAGTAACTAGTGTCAATAAACCATGAAAGGGCCTTAGTAATTAGTACTTTTTCCATGGTGCGTCTTCATCAACACATGCCTTATTTCTTAGCCTAGACTACTCTATCTAAATCATTGCACCACAACAGAAAATGTCATTTTTCTGGTTACTGCAAGATGTGCTTCTGCCCTCTGCAACACAACCAGGAGGAACTTCAGTAGATGCCCTTAGTGAATAAATAGTGTGTGTGTACATCACTCAAACTGACCAGAGTCCTATCTCCAGGCTGTACAAGGCATTACAGTCATATTGTTTGTTACATTTCTATCCCAGATTTCTTTCATGAGGGAACTCAAGGTGCTAGTTATGAGTTTTCAGGTAGTCTCTGTTGGGACACCGACTGAGCCCAGAGCCTCATAGATTTATCAAGGTGTCTCATTCCATTGTTATTCTCTTCAGACCATGGCCTGACACCTATAATCTTACCCTGCTAGGAGTTGAATAATATCAGCCATCCCAGTGTCCTTGGTTTAATAAACAGCTAGTAGGTCGCACACCATACATAGCCTGGGTTCCTCTATGGATGGTGTTGAGTTTTGCCATGGAGAAATACCCTTAATTCAGTGTTTTATGTCAGTACTGAAATTTTTATTGAACATTTAAATCTTGGCAATTTTACTGATTTTCTTTTTCTTAGTGATTGTATAATGCTTTCCTGTTCTGAGCTGCCTTGCCTGCTCTTGACTCGGAAAGGTGGCATAAAAATCGTTCTTAAAGAAGAAAAATTATTTAAATAAATAAATTGGAGGGAAACGTAGCCGTCTGTTTTTTAAAAGACCCTCACTCACTTTGTAGCTAGAAACGAAGCCTTGCAACAGACAGAGATGCCAACTTTGACCCTTAATCAACAGCAGCAACGCACTAATAAGAGGCCTCAAGAGTGCAATTCATGTCAACTAATACGATTTAACTAATAATGTGTATTAAGTGCCCTCTGACATTATATATCACCTGACCTTAAGGCAAGGGCTGAGTGGGCATATATTAAATATAAAGGCCCCAAAACCTTTAGGAAGCCTATTGGTAAGTATTTTAAGCTTCTTGGAAACAAATTCAGACTTCAGGGTAGCTGTTCTATAGAAGATCAGTTCTGGGGACGAATGGAATATATGATAGCGGAACGAGAACTTGTACTAGAATTTGATTGTAGCAATCTGGCTTTGAAGAGAGACTATGGGTTTTATGCACATTACAGAGACGCAGATTGCCCTTATTATCCTCCATTTTTGCATGCTGAGCTTAATACCGCTCTTTTTTGGGAGGGGGGGGTTTAGATATCTTTGTAAATGAAAATGGGATATCCTCTATCTGCTGATAGCTGACATCCCACTCTGCTTCTATCCATTTCTGCAGCTAATGAAGGAGATTATTACCTACAGAAGCTCATATACAGCACCTAATTTAAAGTGCTACTCTGCTCTTCCACTGAACAGATAGGCTTGTTACTAGGGCTGCAGAAAATATTTTTGCAGTTCAGTTTTGGGGGATAAAAGTAGTCCTGGGGGAGCTCAGCAGGAAAAACTTCCCCTGCCAATATTGATGTGGAAAAGTTCTTCCCGTACCTCGCAACCCGCAAAGCCCTCTTAATTGCCATGCACTTTTTGCAAGTTATTTTTCTTTCCTATTTCAGCTTCTTCCTTCTTTCTGGATTACTCACCTGAGTGATCACATTATGAATTGGATTGGATCCCATTGTGAACAGGAGCGATGCCGTGATACTGCTGCATAACCAGCTAGATTTGGCTCTCTGGGTTTAGTCAAAGGCAAACAGTAATTTGAAAATGAAAGCATTGCTCTCTCCCTCTTCTGGAAGAAAGCCAACAATTTTTCCTCCGGCAGATGGTGTGATAAACTGCAGATTGTTGACATGTTAGAAAAAGTCACTTGTGACATCAGGGTGACCAAAGGACGAGCAAAAGGAAAAGCTTTTTATGCAACTTGGCATGTTTTTATTTTATGTACCTCAGGGCCTGGAGCGCATAGATGCTTACCAGCCTCATACATCTCTCTTCAGCTGGCTTAATCCTTTTTCTTTCAATAAGGGACATACTAGGGTGGACAGTGGGGTGGTTCGGGGAGGGAGACTGCCAGTCTCCTTTGAATACTTATGAAGGAAAAAAAGCTAACTGCATTTTATGTTATGTTGCTTTCTCTTCAACTGCTGATTGTGTAGTTACTTTATAGGAAAGGAATCATGATTCTGAAATTAAAAGACAAGGAGGGCATTACTTCCTTAACTGGTCATCTGGCCAATATGGGGTCACTTGGTAAATGGACATCACAAATCTAGTCAAGTAGATTTTGGAGACATGAAGCTTTCGCTGAGAACAAGCAAATCCAATTGTAGTGCAAAGGAATAGGTGAAATTTGTTTCAGGTGTTGTATTATTAAAGGGATGTTGCCTTTGGTGCCTTTGGCACTGCTTAAAGTATTCACAAGATACACTGAATAATTTTAACACAGTCCCCTTAAGCACCTGAATTACAGTGTTTGTATTTGGAGTGAAAATCTGGCTGGTTTTAAGTGTTAGGAATTGGGTGGAATTTTTAGCAAGACGTTAAAAGCTGATCCTTCAAAGGTATATTGGAGCATTAGAATGAGGTGATCACTGCAGCATCCATTGAAATAAACACAATTTTGAAATGATCTGCAGACTGGGCTGAGCTATCTGACAAATTCTGTAGAAAGGGAGCTTCACGCAATCTTTGCAAAGTATTATTTGACCTAACTCTTCTCACTTTGGCAAGCAGGGCTGTAGCAGGGAAGAAGAAGTACAGTGTCTATTGCATTTGCGAGATGCCTTTGGGCTAAATTTTATTTTAGTGCTCCTGAATGTACTCTCCATGCCTCATGAGAGGGACATATACATGTGGAAGAGAACAGTTCATGCAACTGGAGCTTGGCTAGCTGTATTCCTTGCAACAGTCCCTGTAGCCAAGTTTCTTTTCCATATAAATGGCAGGTTTTAGCAAGGGCTTCAGCTACTCAAGCTTTGGCCTGTATAGTAGTTGGAACCATTATCCTGAAGCAAGGAAACAAACAAAAAAAATTGCTGAGTGTAGGCAATGTTCAACAGCTTTCAAATACAGAAATATTTTTCCTTCGTGACGTGTTAGTGGTGACTTTTCTTGCTCTCTCACACTCATGCTTTTACGTGCTTGTTTTCCTAATTCCACTTTTTTCTTTCTTTTCTAAAAAAAAAAAGGTATTTCTCAGGAGTGATCGAGTTGCCAGGATGGTCTACAGTGGAGGATGCTCAGCGAACGACTTCAGAGATGTGTTTAAGAAGAACATAGAAAAGAGGGTTCGGAGTTTGCCTGAAATCGATGGATTAAGCAAAGAGACTGTGCTGAGTTCTTGGATAGCCAAATACGACGCCATTTGCAGGGGAGAGGAGGACTTGAGCAAAATGCCCAACAGGATGGCTTTAAGTGCCGTGTCAGAACTTATTCTGAGCAAAGAGCAGCTTTATGAAATGTTCCAGCAGATTCTGGGAATCAAGAAACTGGAGCATCAGTTGATCTACAATGCCTGCCAAGTAAGGAGCTCATCTCAGTTCTATAGACCTTTCCTTCTTAGGTTGACCAGTTGCCAAATGTAAACCGCCCTTCGCTTGTCTTGGGAAGAGGGTGTGGCGATCACACACAGGGCCCCCCGGACGTTTGACGGTCTATTGACCCTGTGCCACCACTGCGATTGCTTTTTCCGCTGCCACCACCCCGTATCTCACAGGGACACACGGAGTCCAGTCTGTTGTTAACATAAACAAATAATCAAGTTTATTTTTAAATGCAGGAACAAGCTTATGGTTTCAGTTAATTTTTCTCTTGTCAGTTTCTTATTCTTAGTTCCTAACAACTCCAAACTGATTATTCCAACTATCTATCTGACTCCACCTAACAATTCCTCTCACTCTCTCACAATACAACTCTACCAACCCACACCTAAACCTCCCTCTTCCTTCTTCAACTCCCAAACCTCAACTCTCAACTCCCAAACCTCAACTGCTTTTCAAAACCTCCCACTCGTAACTTTTACTCCCCCCTTGCATTCTCACTGGCCAATCACTTCACACCCATTTTAACCCTTTCCTTATGACCCATCCTAGGAGGCAAACACCACAGAGGGGTTGGTTGTTGAACCATGCTGAGATGTGTAACTCTGTGAGGGGAATTACGGATCTCCTGCCAGCACCCTTAACAGGCTATAGTTCCCAGGGTTCTTTTGGGAAGCCATGGCTGTGGTGCTGCTTTAAAGGTACAGGACAGATGTGGCCTAAGCAGCAGACCAGGATTATCTGTTCACAGGAGCATAAATGAGCTGTTAGTTGGTGAGGGTCAGTCCAAATTTTTAGCTGTGTCTGCATCTCTCTCCATGTGCCCTTCCTATTTTTGTGCTTGTGTGTGTTTTTCAGCCATCCTCTCTGCCTTCATGTGTGCCACATATCAATGGCGGTGTTATTTTGGCCAAGGGTACTCAGCAATAGAAAAGTCATGTGCAGCATCTATCTGTAGCTGATTGTCATACATTTCTTTTCATGCTTCAGAAATATTTTTCATATAGTTCCTTTTTTCCTCTTTCAGAAAGTAATTGCTTCTCTCTTTCTGAGTACTTGTTTTTCCATTGCGAGTGTGAAAATGGCAACTAGGAGTGCAGTCAAGTGCAGACAATTTGAGCAGACAATTTTAATAGTGATCTGTTTTCCTTTAAATGGTGGTGATCTAAGTTCCTTGTGTAACACAACGGTAAGGAAAACATCAATAGAAATCCCCTTGATCTTATCTTGCTAATAGTAAATTGGAGAAGTCAGCCTATAATATGGGAAATACTTGTACTAAAAAGAGTGCCTTCCAGTCCGTTGTGTTTTCAATACATTTTTCTGGGTATACTTTTTTTTATATTTGCCTTCCACAACTTTCTCATGCATTGCCTAGTCTAGCTTTTTATCTTCAATTTAAATTCTAATGCTTTGCATTATGACCATTTTCTGCACACTCTCACTGATGGAACGAAATTTGCCATCTTTGGGTATTTTAATGGCATCTACATATTGCCATGGAAACATTTCACGATGAAATTTCTGAAATCACCTAGGATAAGTTGTAGAATAGGGTTTGTTATGAAAGGGATTAGACTGTCTGGTCCAATTTCTGTTTGGTGGAGATTTAATTTTGACTTTCGGGGAGGTATTGGGGTGGGTGGGGAAACAGCCAGGGTCTGTAAATCTATAAATCTTGGCACAGTACATCATTTGTATGGAATAGTTTATGCTGGGCATTTCACAAATCTGAGGTCTTCAAATGGATTGTGTCTAATGATGTTTGTGGCCTGACTCCTAAGTGTGAAATTACTCATTTAATTTTCATTGGCTTGCACCATTGGGCTCATGGAAGTGAGGTTTTCCATCTTCTCCCCTTTGAGCTACTTGAAACCCACTAGGAAGCCTTTCTGGAGAATTGGGGGCCCTTTGTGTAAAATATGGGATGGAATATAGGTTTACTGGGGTGGGGATGGAATTTCCCAAAATGGACAGACCTCTGACACCTGTACCTCACAGAAGGAGGAGAGCAGGTATGGATATGTTTGGAAACCAGTGGTGTGTTACACGAAACATTGGGACGTGGGTGGCGCTGTGGTCTAAGCCACTGAGCCTCTTGGGCTTGCTGATCAGAAGGTCAGCGGTTCGAATCCCCATGATGGGGTGAGCTCCCATTGCTCTGTCCCAGCTCCTGCCAACCTAGCAGTTCGAAAGCACACCAGTGCAAGTAGATGAATAGTTACCACTGCGACGGGAAGGTAAATGGCATTTCCCTGCGCTCTGATTTCCATCACAGTGCTCTGTTGTGCCAGAAGTGGTTTAGTCATGTTGACAACATGACATGGAAAGCTGTCTGTGGACAAACGCCAGCTCCCTCGGCCTGAAAACGAGATGAGCGCCGCAACCCCATAGTCTCCTTTGACTGGACTTAACCATCCGGGGGTCCTTTACCTTACCTTTACTGATCAAAAAGAGATAAAGGAAGTACAGTGGTACCTCGGGTTACATATGCCTCAGGTTACAGACTCCGCTAACCCAGAAATAGTGCTTCAGGTTAAGAACTTTGCTTCAGGATGAGAACAGAAATCGTGTTCCGGCAGCACGGCAGCAGCAGGAGGCCCCATTAACTAAAGTGGTGCTTCAGGTTAAGAGCAGTTTCAGGTTAAGTACGGACCTCCAGAACGAATTAAGTACTTAACCTGAGGTACCACTGTAATTCTAAGTGGAAGTGAAGGTCTCAGAGCTATTTTTCTTATTACCTGTCCACACAAGGATCAAACCTTTTGTCGGTTGAAGGATTGATTCTTTTGGTTACTTGGTATTCTGCAAAGATCCAGTACTTGGGGAGAGTTCTCAAGGCAATATTCTCTGTTTTGCAGTATTTATATAACTCCCAATAGACAAACGTTCTCTGGGTGGTTTACAAGTAAACACACGCCATAAGAAACACACATAAGAAACCCATAAGAACATAAGATATACAAATAAAGCCTAAAACCACACAGTCTAAAATAAAACAAAGCCGGCAATAGGATGCACCCAAGGTAGACCTGGCAACAGAGGGCAAGGCAGTGTGTGGATCTGAACAAGTACCCAGAAATTGTTTACAACTGGAAAGACTTGGAAAATTGAAAATTGCAACTGGTGAGGGCATTCCTCAAACAGAGAGCTCTCTAGTAGCTGCTACTTCTGGTGAGGGAAACCTGAGAGGGAGTGTCTCTGGGTGTGTATAGGAGGACACGATTTGTCAGGCATCCCTTCCCATAAGCAGAATGCTTATTATCAGTATTCTAGCAGTGGCACACACTGTGGCTTTACAGAAAATTGTTTCAGATTGCAGTATGCTTTGGGATCATATTCGGAAGCTGAAGTGTTAGATTTGGACCTCAGGAGTCCAAATTTGAATGTTGGGCTCTGTGTCGCTTGAATATATTGCCCAATTTCCCTGGCTGGAATTTAAACTCAGCTTGGGGGACAAATTGTTTGAAGTTGTTATTCCGCCCAGACATATGAAATAAAAATAACAAGCCAATTTTCTATCTGTCCAATATTTCTAGAAAACATCTCTTCATTTTATGTATTTGTTTTTACTTCAGTACTGTGCCAGGATCTCAGTATACATGGGTCAGCTGGGTGTGGAAAGTTTGCCAGACAACTTTGTAGCACCTGCTACAGGGCTGTGGATTTGAGAACATTTTAAATGGGTAGAACACAGAGCCACCCATTTGTAAAAATAATGTAACCATGGCCAGTTGGATTCACTCTGGTTTCAGGTTCAAGATGCCACTGCTTAATGATAAAGAAAGGTAGATGGTATTATTTTAAAATCCACCCTGCTCTGTTGGTATCTGAATTTGTTCCTAAGCTATCCCGGTTTCCCTGTGGAGCGGCGAATAGATTTTCTCAAATTAACCATTTATTTAATGGGAAGAAATGTTGAGGACTGTTGACCAACATCTCTCCTGAGAGGGAGAAGATACATAGCATAGAGCAGGCATCCCCAAACCCGGCCCTCCAGATGTTTTGGGACTACAGCTCCCATCATTCCTAGCTAACAGGACCAGTAGTCAGGGATGATGGGAATTGTAGTCCCAAAACACCTGGAGGGCCGAGTTTGGGGATGCCTGGCATAGAGAGACAATGTGGAATTTTGGTTACAGTGTCAAACTAGGACGTGGAGACCAGGGTTCAAATCTCCACTCAGCCACAAAACTCATTTGGTGGCCTTGGGCCAGTCACTGTCCCTCAGCCTAACCTACCTTGGGGTTAGGGCTGGACGATATCTAGTTTTCAACATTGTGATATATCACCAGCTAAACATTGTGATGTACCAATATATCACGTTGTCTAAAATAAGGATGGAACTATGTAGAGGCAAACAGTAGGACTGTGTTTTGTTCTGTTTTCTGTTTGAATCAAAGGACTATCCCATTAGGGTACCAGTTCCTAAATTATTACCCGACTCAACATTCAGCAAAATTGATTATTTTATTTGCTACTGAATGCTGACCTTAGTGAGGGAAATGTGTGTGCTGCCTGGTATTTATTGTTGTTCCCATGCCAGTTATAATTTCTTATGGTATCCATCGTAGTTGAATACTTTCCCAGATCCTTAATTTTAGATGACAAATTTACAGATCAAGGCAAATTCTTAATGCATATGAAGCCAAATATTAAGTCCCAATTCTAGCAGACCTCATCATGAAACACAGCTAAGGTCAACGCTTGTAAGCAAACCACAACACAGAGGCTTTGAAAGCTGTGATTTATTCTGACTGCCTGTGTTCAGTTTGTCCCTATTGACCTTCCACCTGGAAAATCCACATATTCCTGTGCTGTACGGCTTCACTGCTTGCGGCGTTCCTACAGTTGTGCTGCTTGCTAAATTGCCAGAGGAAGAGGTTTAAGAAGTCTCAACGCCGCAGCTACATGACGGGTTTGCTTGATGTTGCCTTTGGCATGAGATGTCATGAGCATGTTTTCCTGATCAAAAGCACGGA